CGTCTTTTAAAAATGGAATCTGCAAAAACAGACTGAATACCCGAAAATAATGCGATGTTCATGGTTCACGTTGACCTGCTCTATTTTGCTGTTTTGCTATTATCCGCTTCACCTACCCTGTTTTCTGCATCCACAGAGATCCATGACAGAATCACCAAAATAAATGCGAGCCCACGTCAGCTCCATTCTACCTCTGCGGATTTACTTCGCGAATCTGAAAAACTCCACTGCTTAAATAACCTAACATCCAACTCAGATGACCTTAAACCCAACGTTTGTTACGGGGCAGTCCAAATACCGTTTCAGTGATGGCACGACATTGCTATGCCATGTTTGGTAGCACCCTCGCAACTGGTCTCTTCATATTCTCTACTGTACCATCTCGCCTAACCGTTCAATTAATTCCAAATACGAACAAACTCGTCACCTCATCCATCACCAGAACGCATTTATTCATATCTACCAAATCTTTTGTTCGGATTTGGTCATTTCCATGGACTTTGTCTGTGCTCTCCATAAAGTCAATACTTTTCTGTACTTACCGCATACCTGCTTGTATGTTGTCACCATCTAACTTTTCCAGGGAACGTTTGCACTCGACTTCAATATAACGGTGAGCTCAGTGATTCCCTAATTTCATTCCACACCACTATTCTGAGATTCATACTACCGTTTATCCGCAGTGTCAGTCAATTCGTTTCACTATGTCCATGCACGCTTTTCTTGACCATGGCCGTAAGCCCAACAGTCCAAGGCCACGATAGCCAAGTGATGGCTTGAGGTTTTTATTCAAAGCAGCGGGCCGGATTACGCCAAATCTAGTTCTTTAACAGATCCGTTGTTCTGATTTCACATTTTCCGCAACCTGCAGTTTTATTGTCACAGGTCATACCTTTTGTTTTGTCCTCCTCCGTTTTGTTTTCGTCCCCCACCTTCAAATTGTAGCGTATGCGACAAATAACGCTTACTGTTTACGACACTGTCTATTTGTTGCGCAAAACCTGTGCCCACGAAACTCGCCAGTCACCCTTTTTTCTGACCTTAACATTCTGAACAAGCGTGGCGGTATGCCACCCACCAGTTGAGAATGAACCTTATTGCCATTAGTATATTCTTACCACAGGTTGTTGCGCTATTTCCGGGCCATCCGACTTTAAAGTTCTGCAAGGATAAATGTCATCGCAAGCGTATTCATGTATCAATCACACGACCGAGTCCGCGAGTTTACTTTACAGTGATTGCAGGATTCAAATTATTGAGGTCAACAATTTCTCCTTGATTTTTCCCCCTGCTGTCTGAACTTTATCTAAGCTATATCCCCGGTGGCAGAAACGTCTGCAGGATCCCCATTGTTTGTATAGGTTTACCGAATTTTACTGCCCCCAAAGGTAATCCGGGAGAGCTCGGCAAAGTTAAGAGATATTCCATTGAACATTTGTTATTAGAGAACATCAAAATTACCCAAAAGTACCGAAGAATTATGTTAATCCGATATGGTCCACCGTATCTCTAAACTAGCGAGAACTAGTTTTCATGCGCGTAGTTTCTGAAACCTTTGCTGTTTGGTTCCATTTGAGAACGAATTCTCCGCACCTAGTTGCCGAGTAACCCATCATCAGTTATGAGAAAGATATTTACCTGCTGAGTGATGATTATTCTCACACAGTCCCATCTGTGATCCGTTTGGGATATTCCGGGGTTTACACAGAGATGAATAATTTGGGCGAGGTTTGATGGGTTTTGGCGAATGCTAAACCGACTGAAGTTCGTAAAAGTATGTTGTACGTATGTACCGCGGTAAATTTTTCGGTTAATACCATAGTTTCTTGTTACCAAAGTTCTTTTTGGCGCTACTACCTTCCCCGGGAGTTTGTAGAAATAGGTTGCTTTATGTTATCGATGGTTACATTAGCCTTTTCAATGAGGCATCACCAACGTAATGAAGACAAGATTAAGAAGGGTTATTCGAATCGTTGCGGGTTCCTTTGAGAGATTGGGGCTGGAAATTGAGCCCAGATACTTTTGTGGCTTTCCCAATTTAACCTTCTAGCTGCGGTAGTCTTCCGCCGTTGTATTTGTAGTTTGAAGCTGATGTCCATAGTTGATGCTCTGCTGACTTTTGCCAATCGATCATGAATGTCGAGTTTCTCAGATTCGTTATCTACTTTTTCCACTCGAAGACATTGCTTCCTGACGCTTAGCAGACTTGGTAGGGCCGGTTATCTCTGTATTGAGTCAGCTTGCAAGGCAACGGTTGATCAACAAAAACATGGTCCATGCCAGCAACATTACCGTTCTCAGCCGCGCTACCCAAAAGTATCACAGGGTGGCATTATTCTGCTACTGCGAGCGAAAAAATTGGCTCGGTTCTCCATCAAAGTCCGCAATCCCTGAAGGCTAAGTGTACAGCAAACAAAACATTAAGAAACTTTTGGAGTAAGGACCAGAGCCAGAGGAACTTGGCAGAGCAGCCTGCTCTCCCGGCGCTGAGTGGCGCTACCCAGGCTCACCCTTTCCGTTCCCATGGCCACAATTCAAGTTGTCCAATTCAACACACAGGGGTGATTTGCAGCCCAGGCACTGGACCCGAAAGGCGTTTTTGAAGTGTTCTACTTCAAACACTCTTGGCATATTTGCGTTTTGTCCATTAGAGTTTTCATCATTGGCTACCAACTTTACCACCAACGTTTACATTTTGGCGGGTCGCAAGCCTTAATTAACATTAGATACCTCCCCCAGAAACTGAAAATTTGAAGCTACGGGTTCGAAAAGAATAAAGAGTAGCACGTTTGCTCCCCTGCGGAGGAAGCTGAACCTATATTTCTGTACAGCCAATCAGCCTGCGATCTTGCCTTTTCTCCGCTCAGTATTCGCAAAATGGAATCTAATTCTCGAAAACTATGGCGTGTCACGTTATAGAGAAGAATGCCCATATCAACTAATGTCCTGATTTGTTCAAGTGAACGAATCTCCAAAGTAATCACACACAACCGGCTGTAAAATAATGCTCAATCTAATAAGAGATCGCGAATTGCGATTAAACATCAGTCGCTCACAATGGACAATATTTGCAGGTAACTCAGCAGCTGAAAGTGTTCAGTGAGATTTTTCTGGATCTACATTGTGCTAGTGGACGCAGAATGTGCAGAAGTACAAATCTTTTAAATAATTTCAACCATTCATATCGGGTTGACTGGACGAATATCGAAATGTGTGTTCTGGGACCCCCATATATGCCACTGCATTTTATCGTCACGGTAGATACCGTTGTTATTTCCGTGCGAATTCGAAAATCGTAGGGCTTACAAATATTGCTCACCAATGCACGTACATCAAGTTTGGTAGTAAACTGTATCAGATATTAATATTCTAAGTGGCGAAACATGCAGAGACAGGTGAACGAACCCAACAGGCGCATATGCAAAACACGTAGCATGAAGTCCACGATGCCTAATCAACTAACCACCAGTAACCCATTTTGATTACAGCGAGTGGCTTAAGGAACCTTGCTGCCGCACACGACCAACATACGTCTGAGTTGAAGACAACAAAAATAAAGCGATCATCTGTGAACTTAGCTGTGAGACAAGCCGATCAGCGGAGAAGCCTTACCATCATAACAGTCAACGTGATATGATGCACGATCCGTTCGTCGCTGGTGCTGACCGGTCGGTTACAAAGCAAAAAACGAAGTTTGTGTCCATGGACAGCCGCTTGGTATGAGAGATATTATCTTCGACCAAAGGTACTCAGTTGCACGCTTGTCCCTAAACTGATGGATGAGGCGGTACTGGGTTCCAACCGGTGGAGTTAACCCACCACTTATTTAAGTTATTTACACAGTCTGTCGAAGGCTGTCGGCCTTGGCTTTGGAACAAGTATGAGGGGTCTACCATGCTCCGGTAGGTTGTAGTCTGATAGCCACCGTTGGTAGATGGGCTTAAGCTAAGAACCAGATTCTGGGTCCGCGCGGAGCAGCTTATGATAAACGAAAACCTGATATACGGCATTGTTCAGACGCGTAATGCGATGAAAGATGTGGCGTCTGTTCACAGAGTGTATCTGTGACCAAAAATACATGGATGGAATATGATACAGACGTGCTTCCTGATACCTTCTCTAATATGGAAGTAGCATCTGGACACTACTCTTGCTGTCCACATTCGCGCCGCCAGTTTGTCCACCCCGCAAGTTCTCACAATATACTATTGGTCCATCATTTCCCTGAACAAGCTGAAGACTTTATGAATAGGAGCGGAGTGTTTACTTTCCCCATAGGCACGCGTAAGTGGACGTCTGGTACTCGTGCCATCCGTGACCAAGAAGGTTTAAAGCTTGTTTCTTCAGTCAAGATACAAGTCGCTTCAGGAATATCCAAAATGGTCTTATGGTTGTGTTCATGATAATAAGAAGTGACTGAGAGATGGATACTTTGCCTGCTCAGAAAATAATGCGCCAGACAGCCGGTGCCCGCATACTATGTGTTAGGGGCAAATACGCTCAGCTTAGTAGCTTCTTCGGGGTTCTCGACACTCCCCATGCTTCGCTGGCTGCACATTAATTCTTCGACTACTGGCTACCGCGTAGTAAATGGTCATGTATTTTATTAAGGACTTCTCACACACCGCTAAGGATGAAAAGCCTACTGCTTTTAATCTCTCGGCAAACATTTGAAACAACTTCTGAAGCAACAAAATGGCGAGCCCAAAGTCGAATGCACGCCAATAATTGAGAATGGAGGTTAATTAAAACTAAGCGTGACAAAATGAAAGTGAATGAGGGCAATTTTTGTTTGAGCATATATACAGTAAAATGCAACATTTTTGGGCAGAAATCTTCATTTCACCCGTGAAGTTTCTGCGGCAAAGTTCAGTTTGCCGCTAAGAGTTACCTGTCTTATCCTATCCTACTCATCATTTATGAAGGTCGCGGTCAACCAGCTTGCGGTATTTTGAAAGTTATATCCAATATCGCGCGGGCATCCGAATTTCTCACACTACATGATGCACCATGGTGGAATTAAGATAATTTGCGCTGCCACATGCATCTGTTTGGCTTTACTTCCCACGCTTGCGGAGGACCCAGAAGATGTTACACCGCTTTACTTCATGGAGGAACCAAGACGCGCGATAGTTATCGAGGGAGAGAGTGTAACTCTTTCATGTCAGACGAACGTGAAGAACAGCTTGAAGACACTTTGGATGAAAGACAACCAAACGCTCCGCGAAAACATAACATTCTCATTCAGACTCACTTCAATAAATCGGGCTGATCACGGGATGTATCGCTGCGCGGCATTCAACGATCGTGGGGGTATACTCAGTAAACAGTTGGCGGTTGACGTTGGATGTAAGTTCAGTTACATGGGCCTCAAAGTGCTTCAATCATGAAGGTACTATAATTTATGCTTCGTTGCAGCTAATTCTCGCGCATTGCACGATTCCTGCTTGATGCCTCGTTCAAAGGGCCGGTGGAAATGGGTGTTGTTGTATCCATGTATGAAGCGTACTTATGTGGTCTTACGAAACTGGGGATATACTGGCAGCGTGAATATTAGTTACGAAACCCTGATGCGTTTTTTCAGCGGTGTGGAGGAGAGGTAGATGGGTCAACCCGCCGAATATGCGCCGCTGGACGATGCTATCTAATACTACTTGAAAGCTCTCAGATTTTGGGAAGGTATTCCAATCTGCATGGATTCAGCTGATTTAAGAGACATTTAAAACGCTGTACGCGCCAGAGGGATCCTGCTTTCCAAGTTCCCAATCAACAAAAACAGCATATCTGGCTTTCCCTTCAAAGTACACGTGATTAATTATGGCGAAGTCCGACTGTTGTTGGTGGGAATGTGGATGAGTGGGTTAGATGTTTACTTGCTTTATCGGTTGTCCAATTTTCAAACAAAGTCTGCATGACAGAGGTTGATTCGAGTCCAATAAAACTGAGAAAGTGAATGTACTTTGATTGTGCACACTCAAGCACAGGAATCTTACACAAGGTTGTTTACAATTTACTCAGATGAAAATGCCTCAAAGATCCATGTTACCCTGAAAACGCATTTAGTAAACATAAATCGTTCTTGACCTCTCTAGTATGTACTAATCACTATATGTTTTCCTTCTGGATAACGGTAGACTAGAAAATATATCTGTTGTCACTGAGCTATCTCGTCAGTCTGTCGTGATACGATGTCTCAGGAAAACAAAATCATCAAAATGTAACTAGACCCACATGTGTGACTCCCAAGAGGACTGAAGAAGAATAGTTTTCAAGAGAACAGCATGCGCGGTTCGAGTACGTTTGATTGGTCAGCTGTGGGCTTCCACCTAAGAGTAGCATGTATTAAAACAAAATTTGTGGTAGGAATGAAGTTCCCATACAACCTCAGTTCCTGTGTTTTTCACAGCCAAACAACTAGTGCTGGGTAAATTATTGCGTGCCTTTACACGCATGTTAAGAGACGGGTCAGTGAAACGGTTCATTACAAGGCTTATAAAATTTGGGGGCATATTTGTAAACTAGTAAATTTCTTTATCAGGAAAGATGCGATGAACTACAAATAGAACCATTTAATCACCAATGGTAAGCGGCATCTCGATTGATACCCAGTGAATATAAAGGCCCTTCACCCAAATTTTAAGGTGTAATCCGTGTGTAAAAAGTTTCTGTCTTACCACTTGTATTCCGTGCCAACGAAAGTGACCTTCTAGACGTTTCTGTTCAGCAAAGTAAAAACTAAGTAACCATGAAAAATGGCTCCTAATTCTTTGATCCCTTTTCCATGACTCAAGGATAAAGAAATGAGCGGAAGAAAACGCATAATAAATAACAAGTTTTGTTTAACTCTATTTTGGATAAACAAAATACTTCACCTTATGTATGCTATGCTGAGAAATGATGCTATAGCAGTAAAGAACATACTGTCTCAAAAAAGACTTCGAGAGTCCATAGACGTCCAAAATGTCCCACTGACTGCTCAAGATGCCACTACTGAGTAACAATTGGTTTGCTTTTTCCGTGCTGACCTTGGTAACAGAAGGGGGCATGATTGACGGCCAATCAATCGTCTGAATACAAAGTTGTAGACAGAATAGGGATTCCGTCCAGCAAATAACTGTGACCTGTTTTAAAAGCAAAGAACCCCAAATTTTTACCCACACTAGGAAATCTTCAGCAGCGCACATCTGACGAAACTTCCGTTCTTCAGCCTGTTTTTTCTAAACACGGTATTTTATTCGATTATCAAAAGTAAAAAAAGCCACATTGCAGATTTTTTTATTTGGTGCGCTTCCGCTTTTGGCCTGCCTGCAAGCAAGAAACATATTCACTCCCATTTTGCATTGCATTTGAATTGTTATCCATTACAGATTTTTGGACTACTAGGATATGTAAAATGTTTCATCAGTGAAACAGTGAGCTAAAAGTTTAGACAATTTTACCATTGGCGGGAGATAAAAGGCAAATAAAAAACAACGGTATATAAGGGCGACAAAAATTGGGCACGAAATGCCAATAGCGTGAAAAACAATTGCGTTATATAGTTGTTCGTCAAAGGCCAAACAAAGTGATAAGGTGTGATGAAGAGCGTATCAGCAACTGCAACTGTGCTGATATTGACTACATACTGGTACCCCAATAATTTTGTGGTAGATGCAAAAGGAACACCGCTAGAAGGCATCGTGTTGATCAGAAATTCTGCACTTAAAGATATTATCGTCTGCACAAGGACACCCCTGTTCTCCTTTCATGAAACGATAAATTGTGGGAAGCTTCCAAGTACCAACAGCATTGAATTTGATGTAAACAGTTTTGGTAGTTTTTATGTTATGTAAATACGTCAGAAAAATTGACCAAGTTGAAGCCATTTGAACTGATGTTTACCCATACAATCTAAATAATGTTTCCGATAACGGGCACCCGCCAGTAGGTATTACCATGAACGGTGTTATAATTCCCATGGGAAACTCAAACCATCTGCAAAGTTTTGGTAACGAGCTAACATGGCACCAAAAAAAACACGACACTTACCAGGTTTATCAATTCTAAACAGTAGTAGTCGAGGTGCAGAGGATGAGTTTAACCTAATAGCCCTCTGATAGTTGTGATTTGCTTTTTTGAGCTTAGAATCGTGCGGTTATTCTTCCTAAGCCGTTTGTGAAACATATCAAGAATATAATAAAAAAGAAACATTATTTCAAATAGAGGAAAATGTTGGTAGCTCAGGTATCATAGATGGTAGTCATTGGCTTGTTCGCTGAGCTGGGCAATTTGATTGCAAACGTTTCATCACCAATCGAGGTGACATCATCAGTGCGTTATTGTGGAGCGTAGTAGTGCGTAGCGGTGGGTTGGTGGTTGGTGGTGGGTTGGTGGCACAACCACCAACCCACCGCTACGCACTACTACGCTCCACAATAACGCACTGATGATGTCACCTCGATTGGTGATGAAACGTTTGCAATCAAATTGCCCAGCTCAGCGAACAAGCCAATGACTACCATCTATGATACCTGAGCTACCAACATTTTCCTCTATTTGAAATAATGTTTCTTTTTTATTATATTCTTGATATGTTTCACAAACGGCTTAGGAAGAATAACCGCACGATTCTAAGCTCAAAAAAGCAAATCACAACTATCAGAGGGCTATTAGGCCATTATTTCAAATAAAAATATTGTGCTTGCCGCAAAAGTTATTAGTAGTTCGTTTGAAAGTAAATGACAAAACTCCCTTCACTTAGTAGCCTAATTAAGTCGTTAGAAGAGGTAATATTTTAATTGAATATAAGCAAGATAATTACAATAATAGCCGGAATACAAAAGGTGACTAATTCACATTTCATAAACTATTATTTAAAATAATGTACCCTCGCCGTTCGGATCAAAAGGCCATCGGAATGTAAAATTACAAAACAGTTGCTTGTGGAGCATTTGGCTAATTAAAATACCCCTACCTAATGAACTGGTGTTGTGTTCAGAATATGGCACTTAGCAGGAGCGCAAAATCATAAGTGGATACAAAATTATTAACTGACTCCTCCGGTAAAGCCAATCAGAGTCAAGCTTATCTAAAACCAGAGCAAGAGTTGTAGTTGACCAATGACTGGGAGGCGCGTCAATTAGGAAGGTAATTTTTGTGAAACTTCTGAACCTGGATTCGTCTGGAAAAACAAGACTGGCGTTTGAAGCGAAGAGCTAAATTTTATTGAATCATCGTCGAATAAAACAACGTTCATAAGCCGACGTCTAGTTCCGAATGTTTTGTTTGCCAAAGCTGAATTCTTTCAGAACAGTTCCTTACTGGCAGCCATGCAAACATATTCAGGAGTCATTGTCTAAAAACTAGTAAACAGATCAACTGTGGGATCAAAGTATGGACGAAGTGGAAGATATTTTGTCCTGTCTGGCTACTTACTGCATGCATACATTTAATTCTAGGCTAAAGATAGTGGAAAGGTGTGTTCTCTATTTTCTAACCTCGTTTCAGGTAAAAATGGAAACAAAACATCAAAGGATATAGTCTTGCATGACAGGATGGGTAGAGGTGACTATTGATGGTAAAAATGAGATGGTATGGAATACTGAAAGCCAAAGAGATTCAAAACATGAACGGAATTTACAAATGAGAATTCGTCCTGTGAAAAGACTCAATATTAAAAAACTAGGATTCCAGCAGCTCTTTAATCCATGCCAGGAAGTACCAGTAATGCGCACCTTACAAAACGCTAGGAGATTTTAATCCGTGACATACCGATTTGTAGTTGAACAGCAAGGCGTTCTGCGACTAGCGGACGGTAAGCGCGGATACAACATATGGCATCACCCATCAATAAGAAAATTCAAATCTCTTGATAAGGTGCTAACGAACTGTTTAAGTAACGATTTATCAGACTAAGGGTGTACAAAGCTCGTCGACTAAAGGATTTACACTCACTGAAAAGTTGGATCAGCGTACTGACATACATTTCTTGGTATATGATATCTTATTGTCGGAAGGTTACAAAGTTTCCACATGGTTTTAATTAGTATTTCAGTGAGGCCTGTGATATATATAAATAAAATGCGCGCATCATGCACCACTCAAGCATTTCAAGCTCAAATTTCAACGTATCAGTAACAAAGTTTTGCAGAATAGAATAAAACATAGACCAACAAGTTGTGAATGCGAAACTTCACTGGCCTCACAAATACCTACAACAAACCATATATTGTTCACAAAGTCTCAGACGTTGACAATGTCATGCGACCAAGAATTCCAGGTAAACGTTTCAGCGGAACAAGGACAGTTGCCAGGTATTCTCATGAAACGTTGAGAAAATTATTCGTATTGATCACACCTAAGCGCGTTTTTTGGCTCGGACGTACAAACATATGTAGGGTGCCCTGGTAAAAGGTTCGGTATACGATTATCCTGCACACTGAATGTTAGCGAGTTCCGCTTGGTTCAAGGTTACACAGTGCTCATAGACCTTAACAACAATAAACAACGAGGGAATTGTTTTTGGTTCATCGTGTTGGTTAACCAGAATAATTGTGACGCGACAGTAGATGGACAAACGTAGATGCAAAGTAATCTTATTGACACTATTGCAAAACCCCTGCTGGCTTTATTCTTGACCAATATACTATACTTCTTTAGGAAGACGCAACTTTCAGCATTGAACATTCTTATGATACAGGACCAAAATTTGGCTGAATCAGCAAATTTTCGGTGTCCGGATTGTACTTTACAAATGTGCCGATGGATTAGCCTTTCATGAATGACTATCCTGTGTTGATAAAACTAATTACCTTATCGGCTTTCAAGTGCTCGGGTCTGGGTGCAAATCATCTTTGCTTTTTACTGCGCTCATACAGCAAAAATAGGTCAATAAGTTAGAAAGAATTCGAGCTGTAAGTTGACCACTGCATCGCGGTAGAACCATATTGTTTGCAAATTCAGGCACATTCTGATTTCTATGAGAAATCTGGTGTTGGATAAATAAGTACGAAACAAGCTGTGTATTGTAGTCAATGTTGCTCCACAGAGCACGCAAACTCACAATCAGTCGTTTTTGAGACTGAAGAATAAAGTAAAATATTTTATGAATTTTCTGTGTAAAATAATTTTTGTGGACTGAAATAACCTGCCAAAACTTAGACAAAGATACCTGTGTGTGACCTCCGTTGTAAACGATGCCTCCGCCCAGGTCACGGTTACTGCTGGGCATATCTTTCACAGGGATATTTAACATCCTTCTGCCTTCAGTAGGATTAGCACCATGCCGAAACCAGGTTTCATCTAACTCCGGCCAGTAGTCTTGTGACGCTGCTAACGTTCGATTCTATTGCCAAAGCAGTGAGCACCTGCTGTGATTAAAATGTGCTTGGGAAGACTCACCAATACGCTATTAATGCATTACTTCTGTGTAGACATTGTCGTAGCCAGTACTAATAGCGCTGTTATCTTACAAAAGACCGATACCATAAAACTCAGCAACGCTGTTGAAGTTTAGCAGTTTTGAATGCATTTCATAATATACCTTTAAGTGCCGAACACAAAGTGTCTGAGAAATTCCTCTCCAGAATTGTTATTAGGACACGTTCATTATAGGCATAAATCGTACAATAGCCTACTTGTCATGAACCAGGCTAACCAGTGTCTTTGGAATGTCGTCCAATTCTATCGATCTGTCTTATAAAAAACATATCTTCCCTCTTTCTCAATAGAAATACGGGATTTTCATGCATTCAAAATTATTACCAACTATGACAATATATTCCACAAAACTCTTTTGGTCCTTTCGGAAAACGAAGGAATTTCTCTGTAAAAATATGGATAAACCTAGGCTTTACCAGTATTTTTGCGCAGTTTGAGTGCTGAATCTGATGGCGCTCTAGTCCCTAAAGGTAATTCGCAGTAACAAATTAATCTGTGCACTCTGGCGCATTGTGACTGAGCGTTTTTTCGAGGTTACGTCATCATTCAATATTTATTAGCTTTTTTAAAAGCGCCACTGATAACATAATTTATCCGATCAAAACTAGCGAAGCATTTATTCCTATGGTTTATTCTCCGCCTCGTAAAAAGAGAAACTTTAACTGGGCAAAACTCTGTGTATTTGGTCTTAAACTAGTGTATATTTGCGTTTAATGTGCCATCGTTCTATCAGTCTCTCTTTGGCATTCACTTGATTTCTTTGTCCTTATTTCGTTCTCTAACAGAAGCTTCAACTATAGGAACCTTCGGACAATAAAGATTGTCTTGTTGATTTAGGACAACGGAAAGTGCAGGAAGTGCAAAGGAGTAGTCAGAAGTGCCTATCAAAAACACCTTTTAATATGCAAACCACAGTGAACTGAATAATATGCAGTTTGAGTTTATCTTTTGGAGCATTTTCCAAGGTGATTCTTGAAGTGTGTAGGACCTCAGATTTCGGACGCTTCCTGCAAGACACGAACGTTTGAATATCTATGGAAAGAATAGGAAAAACCCACTACTACTACTACTACTACCTGTCACACCGTTAATAGACAAAAAGAGTAGAAACCATTCATTTGTATGATTATTAATATTTTTGGGATTGCTTTTCGCTTGAGATAGATGTACACACCGTAGCCACTGAACACTTCTGATTGATAAAATGTCTTCTTTAAAAACATGCTGCTTATGTTAAACTCCAAAACATGACGCAAAGTTGTTGCCACGTTCCAAACACATGACAAGTTGAGTTTAGAGCTAAGGTATAGAATAACAAACCAATCAATTGCTGATGGAAATTCTCCCCTTTGGGATTCCCCAATCTTACTGAATGACGCCCACCATCAATTCTGGAGTAAATCCAAAGTGGAATCACAATTAATCCTTGATTCATTTTTTTATTGCGATATCAAACGTAGTGTCCCTTTGCGGCCAACGGACGTGATCGAATGGAAAAGTTAGGTGAATTTGATAGCTGAGTTACAAAACGGTGTTGCACTGGAACTCGAAGTCTAATAGAAGCATACGATTTTGACGTGATTCAAAGTTTAACATTTTGAAAGAATAGCTACTGAATTTTTGAAGCTATTATACAAGATGAAGCGGAGCATGTATACAGCTATAATTTATTGATTCGCATAAAAATTGAAAAGAGGAAGGTCGAGATAAACTGTCTCTAAGATAGGTGCCACACATCTGAAGTAAAAGTGTTTCAAACTTCGACAAGGGTGAAACATTTCGGATGCTGTGGGGTAATCAGCAATATGGAATACAATGCAGTTGCAAGATACGAGTGCATCATTGCCATATTCACTGGTAGCGATCAACCAATAAACTCTCATCCATATTATAGGGCTGTGATCTTTAGGCAGACTGAGAAAAGGTGCAACAAATAAAAAGGAAATAAATCGGATCCATCAACATTAAAGCTAACATCTTTGGAGTAAATAAATATCTCAGACGGCTGGAGTAATTGACACAAATACAAGCACATGCGATACCTGTGCTTCTTTGCACATAAAGTTTACGGATGTTATCCCTCAGCTGAGCAGAAAACAATGAAAGATAAGATAGATCTAAAGGAAAACGCTTTATGGTTTCAGTCACACAAGTGAAAGGGCACAAAATTAGAAGCCGAGCACGATGGGCCTGTTGCCCTGTTCACGTCAATGCCTTTTTGCTTGCGCTGACAGATATTGCAGTTAACAGGTAGCCTACTTTGGGTGTCACTTCGTCGGAAGCAGTTACAGTAGATCAGTGATCCGGTTTGGGCAAATTACGTTGTAACCCAAATACTCATTTTTAACCCCTTTGTCAACGGATTGGGAGAAAATCATGCATCTCTCCTATTGAGCGTGTTAGAATTGTAGGTGGAATAATGTACTCCACATATCGCGAAAATCACTTTCCGCTGCTCCTGACTAATTTTCATAGTTATGTCTAATAGAAGGCGTGCCGAGATATTTTAAACTTATTTTTACTGTGTTCATACATACCAATTAAGGAATAGAAGTAATGTTGAATAAGAACTGATTGACTGATTCCAGCATGGTAGCTAGATAGCTGTTTTATCTCGTGTTAAACATACACATACAACATCCGACTGAAATTCCAAGGTCCATGGTTGGTTATCGTCACCACAAGCATTTAAATAAATATACAGTTTCAGATAGTTCACAAATCACCAGACCTTACAAATTGTCGATTAAAACCGTTTCCCCTAATGCCTATGAAGCCTGAAAACAACACCAATAAAGCACTGGTCAGTGTACGATATTGTCTCTGTAAGAAATCGAGAGCATGTAAATTAGACGCACTTTTTTGTTAATTGCGTTCTCCTGACCGGTATCTGAAAATTTTAGAATTCCATGAGGCTAAAATGTAAAGACATGGCTCGTATTTTAGCCTTATCAGTTTGAAAAGTAAACGCAGTATAACGGAAAAAAATAAATACACAAATTATGTGTCCATATATAAACACTTAGGTGGAAACTCCCAAACAATGGTCGTGTGAAACCTGGACGTCAGACTAGGATTTAGTTAGGGAAAATTTTTTCGTTACCATGTGATCATTAGAGGTGAATTGTGTCTTGGCGATCGCGACTTTTGGAAGATCGCAACTTTGTTTAATGGCCAGTACAAATTTTGACATTTGTCTCCATTTTCGACCAAACCCACAAAAATTCCACCCCTGCTCTCCTCTCCACAGATTTAGACAATCCACCATACAATTCGACTCGCACCCTGGTGGACATACCTTTGGGGGAGTCGATCATATTTTGGCCCTTCATCTATGCGCACAGTGACCGGTCTTCGTTAACGGTATCTTCAGAGGTCAACAACACGTACTCGTTTGCCTTTCCCCCGCCACAAGCAAGGTGGACAATCAACAATGCTCCGGTAACCGCGTCATCTGATGCTTACATCAGTTCAATGGAACAGGCGCTGGTGCTACTCAATGTTGATAGGAATATGAATTTTAAAGTAGTGCGGGCACGGTTGACGAATGGTTATGGTTTAATGACTGCAGTTCAGAAGCCGATTTTCAGTCGCTCCTATATCATTCAGACAAGAGGTACATATCTGCGAACAACAAACAATTTGCTTAACGTATTTGATTCCTCCAAGTAACCAGCCTTTTCTACGAATATCATGTGAATGTTAGACACATCTAATTTGTTTTAAGGGAACTGGTAAGAATCCTGATTCGTTTCATTTGTAAACACGCTGAAAGTAAGTTCAAATGACGTCTTTGTTACAAGTTTTTTCTGCAAAGCGCTGTCATCAGTGGCCGTTTGTTTGTGGATTCAGACGGAATTCTTATTTAGCAAGGGCGTTTGGCTGCCATATGTTTTCACTGGGTTAAATAAACACCTGTAGATAGTCGGGATGCTTACGGTGTGGTCGAAAAGTTTGAACTTCTGTTAGTTACTGGTTCGTAATGTCGATGTTGTGACGCGATACTAGTCAGACCCCAGTCTGTCTGAGGAGAGACCAAAGACCTGGTGAGTTTGAGGAGATTCGACACCTAACTGGGACTATCAGCCCATACAACACATGGAAACTCCCTTTTGAGGAGAATGTTGATGGTGCAGGTAGCATAGATGGTCATCGGTCTGCTCGATGAGCTGAGCAATTCGATCGTAAACTTTTCATTGCCAACCAAGATGACATCATCAGTGTGTTGTTAGGAAGCGTAGTGACGCGTAGCGGTGGGTCAATCGTTGTAGTTGAAAATTTTCAACAACCGATCCTATCCCATACCACAATCGTCATTGTGTTTGAATAGAAGTGTCTATTTACACAAATTATGTAAATTAAACAGTATCTTAATTCGTTTCTACTTTCATTCGCGATGAGAGTCTGAACAGTCTTAGCTAAAAGTTATTTTTATTCGCTGTCTCGAATGATCCCGCAGGTTTTCCTAATCTCTACCAGCGAAGCTGCGCGTGTCAATAGTCAGAAGTGAGAAACTAACATGTACCTCAAACTAGCTGTGATGTGGTCTAAAAGAATGAAAGATAGAAATAGAACCCAGAAAATTACACGAAAAGTTTTAAAAAATAGCAGCTCCGTGAAGAAATAGGATTTTATTGCTGAGGCGTTGCCTTTACGTTAAGCCTATCCGATAAGGTCAAGTTAGTTTCAGAACTCTCTGAAACAAGTAATCAGCAAATGATATTGTAAGTTAGGTGTTTGGTAAAATCATTTATTATGTAATTTTTTTGTTTCAGAGCCTCCACCAAACAGGAGCATCAGACAATTAAGCCTGATACTAGCCCCGAAAGATGTGACACTTACACTGCAGAACAATGAATCAGGATCAGCAACTTTTGAGTGTGTATTCAACGCGCGGTGAGTATTTGCCTTGCTTTGAAAGCCATTTGTCTTATAAATGTCTGAGAACTCCATTGCCAGAAATTAGAGCTGTTTGATTGACTTTGTCGTTTGACGCAATAAAGTGCGCTAAGGCTTAAGTCCTATGGAATGGTAGGGGAATTTCTAGAATACGTTTGTTTATCTGTTTGTAAAACAATAGAAAGCGTCCAATACACCATAGCATTCAGTATTGTTAGAAAGGTATTTTATCAATGAACTCATTTGTCGATTTAGATTAGAATATACGTTTCTGTACGCTGCCAAAGACTAACATCAAGTTTAAATAACATTCCACATTTTTTAAAGGTTCAACAGGGCGGAAAAACCTAAATTACTCAGTCTGTTGAACATTTGACCTTTTTACAGGTGATAGAAATATGGGTAGAGGTTTCGCTCTGAAGGTCACTGACACAATTAGTTATCCATCGATAAGGAATAGGAAATAGCTTTAGGCTATTCTTTCGAAGGCTACTGAACACGGTCAACTGCTGCACACAATCCATTTATGGGTAATCCGGTTTGAACACAAAACGTGGGTTGCAACAAACGAGTCAACTGTTCATTCAGTGTTGGTAATAATAACAGCATGTCTACACAGACACTGTCGGGGTTTATTACACCTACGGGTGGACCGTAGACAACGTCAACGTTGATTCGAATAGGTTTGTTTGGTGAAAGACAACATCGCCTCGTGAAATATCTCTTTCATAGCTACTGAAATGCTAGTGACTCAACAATGATTATGCATTTCACTAGAAATGTAGAAAGAACCCTTTACATAACAGCAGATGGTTTTCTACCAGACGTTTCAATGTGTGTATCTACGACCTATTACAGTTCGACAGTGTTCAAATTAACCTTTCAGACGTACAAGTATAGGGATGGTGAGGAAGTCAAATTTCTCCTTCCTATGATGTGTGACGATGTGCTGTTAGCTGTTTAAACAACTATTCCGCTGTTATCAATTTGAGGTCTAATGTGCTCCCACTATGAAAGAGAAAGGGGGTTCCAATTTCGTGCAGCATACTTTTGTTCAAAATAAAGAACATGTCTAACGAAAAACACTAATGCAGGTTAAACACTCTCACGAGTATGACCTAAATATATGCGTTGGAATCAATGGAAGACGTGCGCCAGATGCTCTTTGCTAAGACTAACTGTTCAGAAAGTAGGAAGATATATAAGACATAGACCTCCTTCACAAACCTTCAAACCGCTTTGAAATAACTAACGATACTGCACCCAAGCACTTTATTTTTGTCTAAGAGTAGCACAACAACCATTGGATAGCTTTCAGTATGCCCGGTCTTGGCGATGAAAGAACCGAAAAGATTGAGATAAGTAGTTCAGCATGTGTTAGTTCGATAATCCACGGCAGCAGCAAACTTCTCATCACACGTCTTCGCATGCTTCCAATAAACTCACATCAATTCAAGTCAGGATATGTCAAGGACACCATGGTTCTAACATGACCAGCTTGTGCCTGTCAAATGCAGCAAAATAAGACATGCCAAAGTACTGATAACAAGCCCAATGTTCAAGCAATATATTTTGCAGCTGCACTTAAAGATGCTTTTATTGACGTCGTATTGCATTCGTGTATGTGAGACCAAACCCTAACTAAAGACGCTGATTCTAGATGTTAGTAGGAAATGTTTTCAAAGTTGAGCCATGTTTATGGCCACTGCAAGTCAACGGGGAACTCAGAGAGTTCATATCATATACTCGTGTATGCCGACTGTTACAAGAAATGCAAAACATGAGTGAACATTTTTGCCATCTTTGTCTTGGAAAGTCTTTTATCCCATCAGCTAATTGCCTGTAGAATCTGACTATTAGCTGTTGTCATGCAAGATAAGCTAATTAGAACGTCATTTTCCAGAGTGTCCATAAAACAAAGGTACGGTTTATTCTCGTTGAAAAAGCACTTTTGTCACGTTGTTCAACATGCACAGCACAAAGAAAGTATGGGCTTTTGGCGAAACTGATCACATAAACTGACGGTCTCTTGGCTTTCTACAAAATAGAATTTATTCTATTTCATTTTTTCAGAACTCATCTACTAATGGACTGTTCCGATAGCTAATTAATTGAAAATGAGACATAGATTACAACTGAATGTGGTATTTTCCAAGCGGAATCACGATCGTGAATCGAATTCTTGGCTTATATTGAATAACGAATTGAGGTGTTGCTTGAAGACTTCAACAGAAACCTACTAATTAGATGAGCGTTTCTGAGGAGTAATTTAATCACTGTCCATGCCGGTAATGAGAAAATCTATGGTTTATATTTCTTCGAAACTTTTTGCAATCAGAGAGACAATCATCGAGGAATAACTTTCACGAATGTTTGTTGAAGTTTAACCAGTGTCTGTGATCGAGGTTAAATTTGAGCGCTTGAGTGCGGTAATTGACGGTGTTCGTGGAAAAGCTGTTTGGTGCGCGCCACTCAGTTTTCATCCTTCATTTTCTACACCAGATATAACATATCTCACCGCTGCATTTTGCACCTAGCTAAAACGTTTACGATAAGGGCCAATTTTATCGGTCAATCTTTAACCCACACACCATAAGAAACAGTTGTTAACAAGCAGAAAGACCACCGGGACTGTATGGTCATTACTTGTCCTGTATGATCGACTGGCTGTCATCTAGAGGAGTAACCAGAATGCATGGAGCACTCAGCTTGCACAATTTAGGATACACCTCAGCTGTTCTGTTCACAATACCAGACGGTCAAACGAGATATATTCCAGATCTATTCGAATGATCAATGAAGAAAGCTAAATTTAGCAAGTTTTCATGGTACTCAATACTTCACACGCCAATGTTGACAAAATAAAAAGATGAAACAGAAAGCATAGTAAGCGTTAAATAGGAAGATAGTGCGATTCTTAGCCTTTATTTTATTTATTTTATTTTATTTTATTTTTATTTATTTTTATTTATTTTTTATTTTATTTTTCGCGTGGCCACTTCAGCCGATAAGTTATTCGAAAAATATTAGAAAAGATTAGAAAGGATCAGTCTCTGGAATTTGTTCACACCTAGCGCGGTACACTTTCAGACCTAAACTCCAGCTCTGTACACGCTTGCGCGGGTATTTCTAACATCTGGACGTAGACCGAGTTGAAAGAGAAGCCTCTATATGCTTGCTTGTACATTCAAACAAGCTCCGTTAAGCTAGTCGTCGGCTGCAAGTTTCGTAAGCATGGACATGCCGTTTGCTTTAAACTTCCTGCAGACTTTATGATACCTTTACCGTTCCTCGTGGAACTAGATGGTATAGGGTAAAAATTATTTTTACCGTAACCAATTCGAGCAGTGAAGTTTAAAATATTCGAAGGATTAAAAGCGGCATAATGAATATACAATCTCAGTAAATTTATAAACCTCAATCAAAAACGCGTATGCCGTAAGTATACAATTTTAATGTGGCCTTGTCGGGCAAATGCATACAGGAATAACATGACGGCTTAAAGGGAGATCAAATCGCAATACAGTTGGCCGGTAACTTTATTCATTATACAGCTGTGCAAAATGAAGCGACACTGTGGTTCAGTATCGGAAACAGTTGACCAGACAAGCGAAATTATGTAAGCAGAAGCGTCACATGGTCTGACAGTCTCTCAGGTCAAACTCTCTTTGATATTAACCACAAAGAGCGCTACAAATTGTGGAACAGTTTTATTAGTTCAAATGACCAATCATGCTGCAATTTGATCTGCCTTTTGAACGTTATCTTATCTATACGTACATTTCCCAAGAGATACACTAACGGCATCACAAAATCGCAAAAATTTGTTCAGAAGATATATTTATAATAAACATAAAGAGGTACCTGGAGGGAATAAAACATTCAAACCATGCAAAAAATTTTTTGAAAGCTGTGGCTAATCCGTGCAATAAATCACACATTTGGAACAACTCCAAACAGGTTGGTTTTGTGAAATATATTGATTTAAGGAAAATCGTTGCCAAAACGTCTCTGGCAATTGTGCTAAGTCTCTTTAAATGCACTATAATAACATCGCGTTTTTCACCAAATTAGCAGAATCAGGTGCATTGTGTTTTGTCCTAAAACTCGGTACGGCTGACATACGAGTAGTATTCGTGAGGAATTAGGGTTTAAGCTCATGCAACAATCAAAAGAAAATGCTTTGGTCAGCTCCATTTTGTTTGTAATAGGGTGTCTGTCTAAAATGGTGGAATGTCCGGGAAACTTACAATATTTCGCTTAGTTTAAAATGCTAGCGAATTTAGCGAACCAGTCTTTTGAGCGGATATTTTCAGAGAAAACTAGGCAGCTTAAGATCATTTTCGTAAAGAAAACTACTCACAAGGTTGCTGAAAACTCTGGCAGCCCATGACCGGGTCTGTCCTTCTTAGGGCTCATCAGGTAGGCGCAATACCCGATTTTCCGTCAACCTTATATTCTACTTGAAGATCATGTTATTTATTAGTTAAATAAGTAAGTACCGCTTGCTGGTGTAACTTAGTATCCTTGTTTTTCAGCCCTGCCGGAGCTCTTCGAGTGCAGTGGTTCAGAAAACGTATCGGAAGCGGGCCATATGAACAATTTGAGCCGATCTCATTAATGCACCAGAATTCCAACGTGACGGAGATAAAACATCATCGCACTCACTGGTTCGATTCATCTGGCTTTAATCGGAGCATAACTGTTCAGAACATTAGACTCAGCAATTTGGTTGGATACAGCGAAGAGTATATCTGCCAGGGATACCTCCTTGACTCTTCCTTTAGGGAGCAGGGCCAATCAAGCATGGGCATCGGTGATTTAGCTATCTCCATCGCTGAATTTGCAAGTGGGCCGTTATCTGCTACAGCTCGGCTTTGGATTCATACTCCTCCCGTTCTTCGCTTCGGTGTTGGACTGAAGACTATAACAAGTTCCTTCAAAAATGGCAGGGCACGTGCTGCGATAGTTGAAGGTGTTGCCAGCTCGGACACGAAAATGGTGTGTACGTTTGAAAATGAGGGTTATCCGAATTCTACCATCAGTTGGTTGAAAAATGCGAAGGAATTGTCTAAAAATGACTCTAGGTACGTGACATTGATTAAAGGCTGCACAAATACTGTATATCTGAGATTCGAATCATTCTTATATTCACATATAAGATAGTGATTAGCATTCAGTTACTGTAAGAATGATATTTGGCAGTGGAGTTTAGATGGACACTTTTCACGACAAGGCCAGGGATTTATCTACCAAAAGATAGGCTGATAATTGGCGTAAATTTATTTCCCTACCGTTCAAATTAAGCACTTTGGTCTAAACCCAGAAGACGAATTTATGAGCATTCAACACTAATACATTCATGGAAGTGCTTTCTGAATTGATTCAAAAGATGAAGGATATTTTTGTCTCTTTGATTGTCATAGAAAGCATCATTTGGTACAGTGAATCTTCTAAGCAATAAAGCCTTAAAATACTCAGTCATTTTGTCTCTACTATTTACAGCCGAATAGCTGTAAAAGTAAGACATTCGACGAGCCGTTATTTGGTCTATAAAGGAAGGAAATCCCTCAAGCTAAGAGATAGGTTTGGCGGTTTGAACACATAGTAGGATGGATACACGAATCTGGCGTTAACTGGAACTCATGAAAACTCTCCTCTTTGGTCTATATCGGGATTATGGGACAAACAGATGTTTTAATCTAATTGGCATGAGGTTACCAAAATCTCGCATATTAATTTGAAAACCGCTTAAAAACTAAATTAGGGTTTTCCATCGAGCTGAACCGACTTAAACCAGAAGTGCTTTCGATCAGGTAGTTCTTCGAGACATGAGAGGCTTTTCTGGCAAAAAGCTGAGTTGAGCAAATGCGACTGCAAGAACCATAGGATGAAGCCGTTTAAAAAAGTATTTAACATAGAAAACACGGAGTGTGCTTTTGTTAGTAAATTGTTCATGTGCGTCCTTTTATGTGTGATAATCTAGTGCTGAAATGAAATCCTGCATCAATGATATAATCTAAAAAAGCTACCACAGAGTTAATTGGACTTGATGTAAGAAAGCCCATGCGCCTACAAGTAAACAAGAACAGATCGCAAGACCTCAGACAGGGGTCATCCAGTGACCCTGGATCAAATGAAATATCTCTTGCCGATTCGCACTGTCAAGGTGATCAAAATAAGACAATACACTACTTGTCAACACTGATTTGGTTCCATCAGATGACTGCGAAACCTGCATTTCCATGAATCGCTCAAATAAGTGAAGAGTTCATCATAACCTTTGCAAACCCCCCTTTGTGAAATTTAATCTCGTGTTTGCCAATGAAGGAGAGGGATTACTTTATCGTCGGGAAGTCATGCAAATACATTTAGTTGCTGAAAATCAAATGATGAGGACGTATCAGCTAACCACTTCCAAAATGAACCCATTTGGTTCCTGCCGTAATTTTTCTTCCAGTACAAATTTACGGACATTCTTGGCATCTCCACATTTGGACTGTTCGTTTACCTTTACTAACTATGTCCATAATCCAGCTACAATGTCGTCCCATAATTTTGAATGGATACCTGTCAGTCTGTATGAGGATGTGTTGGGCAGTCTCCTTGGCCTTATGTCACCTGACACATTTTGAAACGTTTGCAACATTGTTGATTTTCTTGACAAACAGTGGACCTGAGGTGAAACGTAAGCTCTTTATGAGGTTTCCCGATGCTTATACAAGTTCTATAAAGATGGGCACACCAATTATTAGCATAAGGACTTTTTCAAACAAATTCTGTCACTAACTAGTTATTCTCAGAGATCTTTCTGAAATCAAAAACAAGAAAGCAAATGTAGTGGTCAGTGAACAATCGAAGCTACGCTTGCTCGACGTCATGCTTTCACCTATATAAGCCGGGTACTCTTTTGGACCACATCCAAAGCATAGCCTTTGCTTGCTTCCTGGATTGGCTTTCTAAATTGTTAGACCCTACATCCCTGTGTAAGGAGAGAACAAACCAGCAAAGCGGCACTCAAGAGATTCACAGACGAAAATGGTTTCGGCAGGAGAAATACCTTTATTCCATTTGGCGTGAGTGTGACGCGTCCCACTGTCTGTCTTTAGTGAATGGGTTTACAGGAGCGTCGGATACATTGACAATTCAGACGGCAGTCTGGTGCTCAGCTGTTCAGAAATAAGCAACTATGTGGCACCTCACAGATGGATCCCATTTAGACAATGAACCATATGTTGCCAAATGGTTTGTCAGAATAAGGTGTAGTTGCTCGTTAGCACGAGACAAACCAACTACCAGGCTCGAGCGATAACAATGACAAAGCAATAGATAATAATAAAATCGTTTGGGATAAAAACTGCTTACGGATCGCAATTTGCATTTTACTGAATTCACCACTAACATCATTTGATTGCGTATTTTTGTATAGGGCAGCGTGCCCTAACCGTAAAGAGACTGGTACACTTACATTTATGAACTAACCGGCCCTAGTGTAAGTGGAGGATGCAACTGCCAAATTTATTTCGTTATTTAGAAATATCTTCACCGGCCCTCTCCTAGAGAGCCAGCTCCGAGTTATCTGGCTTGAAGATCACCAGGAGTCTTCAGTGAATGCGCTTTGTGGATCAGGGTCCAGATTCTTTGCCTTTGAGTACTTTTACAGTCTGACAAGCTTAATGAGGGCATCAGGGTTCAGTTTATTTCACTGTTTGTTGAAATTTGCAAATACGGTCTTTGATCTTCTTTGGGCTTCTTGAAACGTAACAAAGTGCTCAATTGCTCGGGTGTGTTCCGAGATCTTTGTTACTCGTGTGACTTTTGCGCCTGTTGGTCTGTTCTGGAGTTCGTCATCCGGTTTGAAAACATTTTGTCACCATTCGTGAGACATCGCTGGTGTGGTTACAGCCAAAATGCAGTGCTGTGTCTTGGTGGGTACGTTGGTTGGTCCGGGTATATTTCATAGGTATTTCCGTACCAAATTTAATCTTTACTCTAAGGACATTGCTTTCAACGGTTTTAGTGAAACTGCCGCTCGTTTCGCACATCTGTGTGTAATTTTGGACCAATCTTCCTGTCTTCTGTAAACCAGAGAATTACATTCTGTTCTACCCTAAAGACGCAACCAAATAGTATTTGTTACACACTTGTACACCCTATGTTGTTTTCTCAACTTCTGTGACAATTTGCTTCACAAGAACCATCTGGGAGCAACATGATCAAATCCCTCAAATGCTAATGTATTTGACGTTCTGAAAATGTCAGTTCAGCTACGTTTAATCTGTGCTAATAAAATGGTGTTCACACGTTCTTCTAGTATACCACGAAGTCTAATTTCAGACCCAGCTGAGGGTACGGAGTGACGACTGTCCATAATGAAACTGAGGCTCGGGCCCAGTGATTCTCCAGTTTATTGTGAACTAAACGGAATAGTCATGTTAGCAAGGAAGAAAGTTTGTCCAGGTGAGAGCGTGGCGAATATAAATGAAATTTAGCGACAACCTGATGACCCAGTATTGACGTGGAGCGAATAGGGTGGGTACCTTACATATCATGAAGACGTTCCTTAAGAGATTAGTTTATTTTGACGCCGGTGTCTTCTATGACGAGATCTCCGAAAGAGATGCGGTTTAGCCTGAAATATAGACAATAAGCTTATTGCATCAAGCGTTCTAATGTGACGACTACCCTCTTTGCAAACAGGTTGTGAATTGGTTATAAAAATTTCAAGGCCAAAATGCTTATATTAGGTGAAAAATTGCCATAAAATCTTCCTGGATATATCACCCAAATGTCCGGCTTTTGCGCCATTTTTTCGGTTCCACATAGGATCTTCGTGAACTCTGATCACCAACTTGTAATTACCCATCTTCACATTGAGGATGCTGGGGTATATCAGTGTCACGCACAAAATGGCGCCGGGGAAGATATGCTCGCCTTCTGGCTGAAGGTCACATGTAAGTGAGACTAATTCATGGATAATTTACTCTTAAAATGTTAAACGATGTGACATTCTAACCGTACACATATTTACGTTACATTACATTACATATATTTATACGTTGGTCTATTACTTAGGATCACACTTTTGCTCCGCATGGACATTAAATTGCGGGTATTGCAGTTCAAACATTACAGTACATGTGCAAGGCTCCTAAATGTACATGTGGATGTTCCTATGCGTTGACATGTACTGACAGAACTTTTGGAGGAGGTGGCATCTTATTCTGTACAAACATTTGATAGTAACACAAAGGAGTTAAGGTAGCAACTGAGAGAGAGAGAGATGACTACTTGTATTTGTGTTAAATGACCAACATCAAGTGAGCAAACTAATTCTCACCCGTCACCCGTGTCGATGGTTGTTAAGCAGAACATAGATGGGTTTGATCGACTACCCACTAACATTATTAATCTTTGGATCATATTCATTTTGTTGTTAGAATGAACAGGGAATGGAAAATGGGGATGGTCAAAACGATTCCATATGGAAAGTTCTTCCGACAAGTGTTCGCGTATGAAGAAGTGCCAAATTTGTCTCGAGTTTACTGGGTATGCTAGGGGCAGATTATAAATATAGTGATCATTATTATAAAGTCTTATAAAGACCAGTGTCAGCTGCCGCACCTGCAGCTCACGTTTCTCTAAGGGACGAGTAAAAACGACACCCTGGATTTGGTGAACGTTAGTAAAGCATCGAAAGGTTTACGAAATTCTGTCGGCTGAGTTAACTCAATACAGCTCTTCTGTGAAATCGTCTTGAGCAGACCATCTGTGGTCTTCCTAAAGACACTGGCTTGCTATCATTGAAAACTGCTCCCAGTTTTAAAAAGGAAGCCACTCATGAGGCCCTCATTTTTTCAATAACGCATAAGCTATGTGACGATCGATTCCAGTGATCCGAGGATAGTGAATTTCCGGCAGTTGAAGATTTAGAAGTGGTTTGCTGAGGATTTTATTTGACAATACATCCTTCAGGTCAACCGTATGTTGTTTTGAACAACCTACATCTTGCAGATGACGTATTGTTAGCTGCACTAATTGACTTCTTCATCTAAGCTGATTTAGCACCGCAGAATACCCTTGAGAGAGTTTTCTCAAAAGTGCCACGCTCCTGGTACGAAGTTGATCTGTATCTCTCGGGTTAACCATATGTTGGGTTTGACAAAGAACAAGCTCAAAACAGTCTGAATACCGCACTCTCCCTTCCAGCCACCACAGATTCAAATGTGCTCAATTCATCCACGCTCGCCCACACCGGCATTGGAGCTAATAAAAAGGATGTTGCAATGACTGAAAATCAACCAGTTGCCTAAAAACTGAGCATCAAACGATGAGATTTATTTGACTACAGCTGCGTTTTCAGTGGTACAACATGCTCAACTGGATATCACCCTGGAAGAAGACCATTTTTATCGTTGCATGATGGGACTGCTTGTTTCAGGATACATAGCTTCTGAGATAAGTTGTTGGGTTTGGAGACGAATATAAGTGAAAAAGCATTGTGGACAGTATCGAGGCACACCGAATGGCCACAAGTTAGGAGACGGATACTGGACGTGAACATATGAAACGTTAAAATACAAGGCACATGGACGTCACTTACAGAGACGTAAATTATAGGGACAGTCTTTTGGACCCATTTGTGATCACAGTGTTTAGATTATATTTGGAGGATCACCTTTGTGCGTTATATACTGTGGTCTTCACCGGGGTTGCTCCTCAGTAACAGACCTACTGAACTGGTTTTTGATACAAAATGTCTTATGGTAATCATTCCGTCCTCATACGATATTCCAAAGTACAAGATGCGTATGAAATGGTTGCATGCTCATATCGCAACAAACACGTTATGATAATATTTCCTATGAAAACAGTTGCATTAATTTTGCCGCATTACATTCTAGCATTCGAGCCACAGCTTCAATCTGAGAGAGAAAAGGAGACGGAACTGACAGTACTGGAAGAAACAAAAACGTACATATCGTGTCCAATAATAGGGGCTCCCCATCCAGTCTACCACTGGTTTCGAGGTAAGAAAGTATTTGGTTCTAAAAGTTGGTCTTCTGAGTTAAAAAATTTTGTGAGAACATTCCCACATACTTCTACTTCAAATGAGTTGAGATTTGATTCAAGAACGGACCTGTAATAGCTTTTGGGAATCTGTTGTCAATGTCTTGGAAACAGCTCCAATCAGTGAATTAGGCCTGTTACGATCAAAGAACGGCTTCAACCGTCATAGGCCTTGGGTGAGCTTGCACTGTTGACTTATCCATATGAGTAGGAAAGTGTCCAAACATTAGGTTTTTAACCTTTTACTTGCACTTGGTATCAAGGCGTCTAAATGAGTTTGGCTTTTGATCGATGAGTTTAACTAGGTTAGAGTGATAGTTCGAGTCAGTCATATTTTGAAATACCTGGAAGCTGTAGAGAATTCCAAAAAAATTACGTCTGAAAGTAAGCCTATCTTTGACTCTTCCATGTTTGGAGTGCTCTAATTGTCTTAGCATCAGGAGGAGCATAATATTTTTTTCTGACAATAGATGGTGGGAAGCTAGGTTTAAAGAAATGTTAAATAAATAAACGTGGCATGTACGCTGGAGAGCTGAGAGTAGTACGCCAAGATCTCTCTACACTAATTTGAACCAGTGGTTATAATTGATACCAAATTGGCCCCTAAAACTTGCTGTAACGTTCGCAAGAAATGATAGATGCAAACATACTTTGCGGTTAAACCGGATTTAGTCAAGTAACACCGGTTTCCTATTTGCCTCAAAACGTAAGTCTAACTATGCATGCACATAGATGCTTTCATAGAAGATAAATAAGCAAATCCAAAATTGCACAACGTTTTGGTACCGTAAACAAGCGATTTTGTTCAGAATACAGGATGTAGTGAATCCAATGCTAGCTTTCATACTGCAATGGTTTTCTTTCTTTACCCGAAGCTGATCGAAGCCTGTACCCCGTGAATCCTCCTAAAATTTCATTGAACGTCAGTTGGTTACCCATCAAAAACTCATCGATGGAGCTCGGTGGTGGCAAGTATGCTGGCATCTATTATGATAGCAACCTCCTGCACTTCATATCCGTCTCTCTTGCCGATGCTGGACTTTATCGATGCTCAGCAGTCAACTACATGGGACGGCATGATGCCTATGTAAAGCTCTTTGTGAAAGGTGAGATATGCATGTCCAAGATCAGTTGCCATTTGGACTAACATTATTTGGTTTGGGTTTCTTCAACCGGTTTTGTACTTCGTGTACCATCACGCCTACTCCAAATTTGACAGAAATAAACAATCTGAGTGCGTCAAAACAGTGTTCGCTCATGTTTGTTTGCTAGCTTTTGCTGTGTTTTACGAGTTTGGAAATTGTGATGTAATCACTGTGTTACCTAGCTAGCTAGTGAGATGCTCTGTCCTTGCATGCAAACACTTATGTAGTTGTTAAAGCAGTATCCAGACAGGTATTGTGTTCTCTAATCAAGTCAGTGAAAAACATCTGTAAGAAAGCCGTCGATTTTGGCTGGTTAATGAGTAACAAAAATGTTTCTTCACAGTGATCCAGGTAAGCAGGTCATAGTTAGAAATGGCAAGTGCGGGACTAGTAGTGAGGATTGAGAGGACGAAGATTTACTCACCAAACACGGGTTTTTTATTATTCATGAGAATTTGTGCACGGTGCACAGGTTGCGCATACTTGTCCGGGTGAGGTCAGGCTTCTCTACATTCATTCTTAGATGAATGTGGTCACTCAAATCCAATTTTGAAGTACAATATACGCATTGCTGCACACGGATGTGGTCAACAACTGGAAATCATTTATTCTTACTTATCTAGGTAGAAATTGGTTGAACCAGAAAAACATAGAAGCAGTCACTTTGAGCCATCGCAAGCCGGATAAAACACAGCCAAGTGGTTTAGGTGTAGTGTCGTCGACTATTTATTGATCCGTTGAATGAATAGATTCGCTCCGATTTAAGTAATCGAATTTTTCCATGAACTATATCTGAGGATAGTTTTGTTTTGTTGAGAAACTGCTTATTTTGAAGAGCGACAATTTGACTGCGCTTGGCTGGTGACTGAATTCACCTTTGAGATCAGCCGAGTTCGACGCAACGGAATTTCTGATTAAATCCAAATTATTAAATTTCAAGACATTTTGGATAAAACACTGTAACATACTTTGTATTCTGGAATCGCTACTTGTTTTTGTGGTATATGCCCACGTGAAAAAGTTAAAGTACATCTTGCTCCTAATGTGCAAAGTTAACTGTTCGTCTAGACGAGGTGTGTGTAAATATCATTTATCACGTAGGATCACATCCTATTTTGTCTGTTTGTTGTTCTTCGGTACGGCTGTAAGGTGTTTGTTCAATGACTGGAAAGCAGCTGAATGTCACGAAAAGAAACGGATGCCAAAGCGTTTATTTCAACAATAAAGTAACACCCGGTGCTTTGCTTATTCCAAAGAAAGTTTTCCATTAATTTGTTGACAATCTGTCAATAAAAATAGATCGGTATAGACGTTCCAAAAGCTGAGTAGCTTACTAGATCGCAGTTAGTTCGGCCTTGCTAACAGGCACCTATTTTACGTACACATTTTGAGTTCGATCAAAGTTTCTCGCGGTCTTGAACATGAATCGTTAAGTCTCAGCCACTTATTCGGATAAACTACTTTAAAATAAATGATACATTTGGAACGTGACCGATTTGGTGGAAGGAAAAACCCAACGTCGAATGTACGACCAACCTCCTGCCGTGAATTCTGATTCATACGTGTGACAATTTCACTTAGTTACACGAACCTGGAGGCAGGTTCCCTAATACAAACACGTCTAAGTGCTTGTATGGTGAATGATATGGTAACATTCCTGATCAATAATAACAATACGTGTGGTCCAGGCTACTTTTTTCTACCTATTTCCTTTCTTTAACAGCCCGAACAAGAGCAGCTGTGGCACCCCCGTCGCGCCTGTCTGCTTTGATGAGTGACAGCTTAAGACTCGAATGTGTGGTACTTGCACACGGTCAGACGCGCGTGCAGTTCAATTGGCTGCATGGTCGTCCGAAGGAGGAACACAGGCAAGAACACAACGAAGATGTCAGCAAGCGGAAGTTTATTTCGGGCGCTGGATCCACTCAAAAATATTCCAGTTTTGATATTGCTCACTTCAATCGATCCTTGAATGTTTCGTCTTCTGTTGATTTCACGCAAATGCAGTATGGTTCTGTGCTAACCGTTGACCGGTTATCTCAAAACGATGCTGGTATTTACGTGTGTCAAGTCATTTCGTCAGCTGGAAACATGACTTTCAATACAGAAGTATCTGTAAGTAAAGTCTTATTAATCTTTTTAGTGTCCAGAGATGGAATTCACCAAACAATTAAGCCTTGTGCTAAATCGCCGTCTCCCATTGTTTTCCATCCCTGACTAAATTCAGCTTGCTGTAAGGCTTTTAACCCAGGTGATCCCAACGTAGGACAAAAAACTGATCTCTTATTGGAAATCAAAGCAGTGCAATTAGCTCCGTAAATATAGAAAGTTTATTTGAGAGGACCATTGGTTGCGACAGAAATGGTGGTCTTCACATATAATAAAATGTTACTGCCAATTTTACAGGAAAAATTTAAATATGCTTTGCTAAGTAAAGGGATGATAAAACCAGCGGAATCGTCAAGCTGCTTCAGTGTAAAAATGGTATGTGAGCATGCAAGTAACCCAAAATGTTTTTAGAGATAAAGCAATGGACCTCTATGCTTTTCAATGTTCAGTTATTGCAACAGAGATTTGTTCTTTCTTTATTTGTACCGCGGCAAATAACCGGCTTTGAGATGTTAAAACCGTCATGGAACGTAAACGGCTACTGGTGTTATTAACGGTAGTGATAACAACCCAAAATTACCTTGTTCAGGGGGATTTGGAGGTATTACTGCACTCCCACTCGTGGGTACATGCCTTGGTCGCTAGCGCAAGACTTGAAGAAAGTGACCATCTAAACTGTGTTTTGTATCAAAGCTGAGTATTTTAGGTTTCGTTATTCTACTATAATCCCTTGGGTTTTAATGTAACATTCAGTTATGTAAGTCCGCCATCAGACAAACAGAATTCCCGACCCTTATTCTTCTCAGGTTTTTTCTCCTCCATCGCCGCCCGATAAGTTTCTCATATCATATGACGAAGGCATAATACAGACGGAGAAGAACGCTTCAGACTCTCACGCTTTAGCGCCAGGCAATCTTGAATTAATGTGTTCACTAAACGAGGAGAACAATGAACCCCCGATAGAAGCTCTCATCTTATTCGCCAAGCAAACTGGTACATATTCGAACATGTCCGCTAAAGGTAAGCCCGCATGTGATGTCACAGTATTGTTTCTCGCTTTCCAAATCTGGAAACCACCACCCGCATGAGCAAATAAAATTTTCGTTTATTATACGGTAGCCTTTATTCCGTGATGGCTGCTGATATTTGTTACCTGACCGTCCTAGCTCAGATGTTTTGCATCGTGTAGTGTTTGTATACACAAAGAAATAAACTTGATTGGACCAGTATTTTTTCGTGGCTGAGGTTGTTAAGAATTTCTCTTGTAAAAATCTCACAAATTTACCTTGCTATCCGTGGTAACGCTTACATAGAGACAACAAAAGAAGCCTGCGAAAAATCAACGACCATCATTTGATAATTCAGCCATAATTGGCCTCACATCTCCCAATGGAACTGTCAAGAAATTTCAAGTGGCTTACAAAAAAATCCATGAGTACGGTTCCCTTTACGTAACATTTCTCAGGTCACAGTGAATAACATGTCAAGCATGTGTACATATAGACGCCCAAGATGATTTCTGAAATAGTTCGGCTAGTCCCTTACGAGTTTTTCCCAAAGAAGTCTAGGCACCATGTGTCCCTACTCAAAAATCGAATTTCTGCTTGTATGTTCAAGCAATGGTCTGAGCTACAATTTTCTCCGTATTATTCAGCATGTGATGATATCAAAGAAAATTCGTGGTCAATACTTTCCATGAGTCCGGTCAACTCCAGTACCTCGAATCTGGAAAAACTCACCGTCACAGTACCGGTAAAAGAATTATTGCCAGGTTTCAGTTATTGCTTTGCTGTGGCTGCAGCAAATCGGCTTGGGTGGAGTGAACTTGCTTACCAAGAAAACCTGGCAATATTTATCCCATTTCAAGGTAAGATAGCTATTACTTAGGTTTGTTATTCCAACCTGTTTACCAGGAATGGTTGTTACTAATGACTCATTCTGGTCCCCGCTGCTGCCCAAATGGATGACACTTTGTTTAGCCAACCGGCAGTCGGTGTGCTGGGCAACGCCTGCGGAAAATCCTACATGACAGCTGGATCGTCAAACACACCTTAAATGCGAACACAAATCGTCGCAGAGGAAAACATGCCTTGTTCCCATATAATCTGTGTATCCGGTTTTCGTATGTTTAGTCTGATAATCATTTACTGTTAGCACTTCGTGAAAATACAGTCAAAACATACTTGAGCGATGGAAGCTGTCAGTCAAAACTAAGCATATATGTTGGCGGTGATGACATCATCCTCTACAGTTATAGTATGTGAGCAGCACACGACCATTAAAATTGTTTGTTTATTATGGAAAAATGAAGTTTGGATACTAATACAAAACACTTCGTTGCAAAACTGTGACATTTTGTCCAGTCTGTCTAAAGCGTGATGCGGCGTTAGGTGAAATACAGCTGAATGCCAAATAACTTTGGTGGGTATATATTGAACTGAAAGGTCTAATTTACTAGCAGAAAAATTCTGATTCGGCAGAAAAATTTACCACTCAATGTCAATACTGATACATGTGTGCGCGGCTCACCTAATTGCTTGAAGCCAATAAAAAAGCCACCCTAATTTTTGAAATCGCAAGGGGTTTTGTCATTCCAATCTACCTCAAGGTTCCAAAACGTGCCACCTTTCCTGGTCACTGCATGTACTATTCCTTACCACTCACTGTTTTTTGATCGGTGGGGGTGGCCTCTTAGGATGTTTTGTTACACAATTAGTGCGATAAGTCAGTAGAGACCATCCTCGTTCTTGTAGTTAGAACAGAATTGCAAAGGTGAATGACCAATCATGCTTTGTCATTGTCTCTCTCAGTGAGATAGTGACTAGCATAGAATTTCACGACGTATAGGAAATAGAATGTTGGCATAAATGTATTGTTAGAAATACTAGCACTTTACTTTGCACCACAGTGGTTCATTGTAGGTGAGGTACACGTCAGATCTCATCATGTCTAGAGTGTGCAAGCAATAATCACTACGAATGATTTGAAGAGATTTGCTAATTTTTTAATGGGGTTTTGTTCATTCAGTGATACCAGCCCATGTTAAAAAGTCAGGAAGCACTGGGAAACTGTTGCGTCTTCAGTGGAAATCATCATCACTGCGTATCTAAAAAACTTCATGGAGTTTCGAACCCGAACCCCAACGGGCTAACAATTCCGTTATTTGGAAAAATAAATAGAGCCGCTGTCAGCGCCATCATAGATTTGTTAGGGAGTAAGATTTAACTGCAAGAAGTAAAAAATTTTGAAACTACTTCTGCACAGACATTCGTCTTGTCTACATAGATCATTCGATGCGTACAAATTGGCTGACTTTCAACTACAAAAAGCAACATAACACCATTACATGAAGACAATTTTTCATGAAGATCAGGATGTTTCTTGATTAACGTGACTGTTGAGATACCACACACGGGAACAGCTTAGTTATTAACCGGTCAACGCTGCATATATTTTCTGAGATGGCGTGACTTTCTCCACCACGTACTCAAGAGAGAGTGGAAACGTGAATTCTGGGTGAAAAAGAAACTTAGGAAGATGGATTTAACGTTCCTCTCATCTGGATACACTCAGAAGGCTGTTACTGTCTGGAGTTTCCTGCATGCATACAGCTCGCCCAAATTTAATTCCGGATAGGCCAAGGTGAGTCACTCCGTCTGGTTAGGACGGCGCCACCATGTGAGAAGATGGAACTCTCGAGAGTCGTCCAAGTTCAACATACCGTTTGTTAGATATTGTTTGGTTGATGACAGGTTGGAAAACCGAAATATTGCGCAGCACAAGAGATGCTTTGAAAACTTACAACTGTCTGCACATCCGCTTGACTGGTTCGTTTGTAGTTTGGTCAAACCGTCCTCTTCCACTGAAGCAGAAAAAGTAGTCAGCAGAAATGCAGTTAGTTTGGAGAAACAGTGCATCTTCATATATCTGATGTGTTTTGAGTGATCACAGCACTTCTCACATTGAACTCTAATCCTCTGCAGAGCTCGTTTACGCTAATATTTGACTACCTACGAGTTGAATTTTCCTGTTGGTTCACCATAAGTTACTTTTGACCTCAATGATTTCTAAGCTATCAAAAAACCAATAATACTTTTACGTTCCGTGAAATGATTGTTACGAGTAAATCTCATGTGTTTTGATCTTTCAGAGGCACTCCCAAATCACTTGCCGAACTTTTTCAAATGGATTAGCGACAAAGCCGTGGGACTAGTTTGGGTGACAACCGAGTACGAATCGACTGTCTTGAAGTACTCTAACTATCAGGTAAGATTGCCGGTCAATACAAGGTTATATTGCACGCCAATAGTGATATACAGAAACAGAGGCTGACGGTTAAGGAGCGCTAATTACTGCGTTTATTTCAGTTGATGTAAAGTCAAAGTGAACTAGCAATATTTTTAATCTGGACTCAAGTGCACCAACAAGTCTGTAGACGAAGGGTAGTGGGCTGAAGAGATAGTACTTTTCATCTGCACATTTTGCAGGGCAAAGTTGTGGCACTTACTGCAACACGGCAATAAGTTTTAATTTATGAAACTGACCAAACCTAACTCCTGCCTTCAGCAAGCATCCATATTTTGGCATAAGACAAGTATACCGGTTCGAATAAGTGCACTTGCATCTTGCTTGCTTTCGTTAAAAATAAAAAAAGGAAGAGAAGATTTCACTTTATTGTATGAAACCGAAAAGAAATATCTGACGTTTTGTGACCAAACAATACCTGCATGTGGATTAACTGGACATATTGTAGAAGTGAAAAACAGAAGGCGATTGTTCATCTTGACATAATTGGTGCAAACAAAATAAGGATACCTATCTAACACAAACTGTCAGCTTAACAAGTGTATGTGTTAGACCGATTTTTGCAATTTTTTCGTGCCAGCTAACCACAGTGTGCTTTTCATTGACACCGAAGTTTCACACGAACCGAATGCTTCAATAAATTCTTGACCTATATTTGAGTCCATTACAAACAAAGATTAAGTACGCTACCATGAGCTCTTCAAATTAGTTTGTATTTTGTTGGTTTTCTATCCGCACCAACTGGAGTTTTCAAGGTACTCAGAAGCTGGATGACAATGCCCTCCGTCTTGAGACCGCACATTTCAGTTATCTTCTGCAGTTTTCTTTGCGAGACTAGTTTGGTCTCTTCTATATCAGACAACAAAAATTGTTTATTTATCACAAGACAAACGCTAGTCCAGGTTTGATGGTTGCTTGATGAACTGCATCGTTCAATTATAGATGAATGTGTAGCAATCATAGGAGTTGCCTTATGCACCCGTCAGATGGACTGTTCAGACAAAATTACGTGTACCGACCGCATTCTGTTTTATGCCGCTCTCTTTAACAAACACAGGAACTTGTAAAATGCCATCAAATAGAAAGTAGCTAAAAAAAGTCCAAGCAAGTTTTCTTGGTGACAAAGAGGTTCTGTATGATCTAATCAAGGATTACTTATTTAGGACGTACCCACTCCCTATTTAAAAACAGTTATTGTAAAGGGGGAGCAACGGAGTGCTTTCACGTGGCTAACGTGCTCTGAAAGTACGGCCACATTCAGTCTTTTCCCTTAAGATCAGTCAATATCAACTTCCAGAGCCCGACTAGGCGTAAAAATATATCGCCTTGGAGTAACACCCTTCTGTAGTTCACGACGGATAAATGAGGCATACGGACACAAACAGACGAATGTTAAAGCCCTCACTACATGTTCTCAGTTTCATCCAGTCTACCTCACGGGTATAACGTGATTCCGAATAATCGGTTGCAGTCATATCAGTGAATACATTTGTCTCTCATAAGAGAAAAGCCCTAGCGTGAAACGTGTTTGTTGATGATCGGCAGACTAAAAGGGGACCTGCCAATTGCTTTAAGTTATTTGCTGCACGCAGTGATTTGCGAGCTAATTCGATTTCACTAAACGCTCAGTTGAATCACGGTGGAATTTCCTGTCTATGAAATTCTTCAAGTGGGTTTGCTGCGCAAAAGACACTGTGTTTCAGTGGGCATAATAACCGAGATACCGTCAAATATTTTCGCGAAAAAAATTCATATGGTTCTGAAAAACTAATTGGCATCCAATGGCCGGTTTTTATTTTCTGGGAGTCCAGCATGCAGCCGCCCCCTACCAGATTCTGCCGGAGCCATGTACACGAAATTAACCCGTATTTATTTGGCGAGGTATGTTCACTTTCAAACTGTTTTTGTCCTATTGCTAGACTCAGATAAAACTCGGTTGCACGTCTTGTTTTCCAGTCTTTAGCTAAATTTACTATCTGGTCGTATACTGCCATAAACTTCCTACCAAGTTGTGGGCATTTTTACTCGAAACTAGTCACTATTGTGGAGACCCTCAAAATCTTTACGTTATGAATAATAAAAAACATCCAAAATTATATCCAAAGTCTTTCTATGTTGATGGCTATTACACTGGAATGAATTTATACCCGATTTGTCAAAAAGAAGAAAAAACACCAGCATGTTTAAGGTACAATTTATCTCTTGTTTCGCCACTGCATCTTCGTAGTGGGAGACTGATAACCACTGCCACAACTTCAATTCTCTCATAATCGGTAGGTTATTTTACTAAATTCCCATAAAGAACATGAGATGGTTGTCATAGACGAGACTCATAGTGCCTACAAGATCAGCCACAATTTGTCTGATGTGTGGAAGTGCTTGCTGGGGAACATTTGTTCCAGTTGAGAACGTGCCATAAAGCTTAACTCATAAATTGAATTAGTTATACGCAGACCCACCAATCACCTACCATTGGCTATACGACCCATCGAATGCTGACCGACCCAAGGTAGATATCCAACTCGATTGTACCATGAACATTTACTTCTCTGATAAATTAGGTGGATAAGTGACGTATTGTAAACCTGTTATGGACCCCTTACAAAGATTTGTTCAAGGAGCATGTCAGAACACTTAAGGTGGTTAGAGGAATTTGGCCGTTTCAGTGCCACTTGCCTTTCTTTGTGCGGACTACTTATTTACCAACGCACTCCTCATATAAAGGAGATTATTTAGGCATCTCAGAGAAT